CCTGTTACCACCACCAATATGGCAAAACCCCAGTCTACAGATCAAAAAGAAACCAGTCATCTCTATAACCGTCCCACCCCCATAGTGACTCCCAATCCATTTAGACGATGATTTTCATTGCGTGACGATGATGGGGATAAGACGTGTATATCTGATGAGCCCACCATAGTGTCCACCTCTGGCGGCACCGAAGAGGCAATTTGAACAGAGCTAAACGCTTCCTTGACAATGTCGAGCGGCGAATGTGGACTGTGCAGGGGCGAATGTAAGGATTGCGGAGAACGCTCTCCAAAGGTAGGAGTGTAAAATCCATTCCTCCCTTTCGCGGTATGGCTGGAGAGTATCGAGGACAAAAGTACGTCGGTGGAGGTATATGCGGTCCTCTTGGACAATGCCTGTGAGCCCCTTTCCCGATCCCTTTGACGGTCTCTCACTATAACAATGCTACTCTAGTTATTCTGGCAGACCCACCAAAGAAAGACGCCTCCAACCTCGCGCGCATCCGAGCAGTATTCCTGTTGGCGGATCTCTATGTTCCTGATGCAGAGATGGCAAGGTATTCTCGACAACAAGTATTCCTTCTCGATTCTCCGAACGGCAAAAAGATAGCATCGCCGCTCCAACTACGTTATCGCAGCAATGGCCCAACGCCGGGCGAAGATAAACCACCCGCGACTACAGATTCGCCTTTCAATAGTCCCATTCAGTCAGCCTTGTCACCCTTCGATCCTCAACGTCCACGGGCTCTTAGTACGTCCAGTCCACTAGGAATAGGACTGGATCGTGCGGTAGAGTCGCTTTTTCCACAAGAGCTTCTGCTCCTGGCGGCCACTAAACTAGAAGCGGATATTTGGAGAGAAAAGCTTGGGACTGTGAAAATCAAGGCTGAAGCCAGTCCAACTAGTGCCCACCCGAACAAGGCATGTATTCAAATTGCACCTCCGGCTCTTACTGATAGTTATGTCTCAGAGCATGTTTAGGCTGAGTCCTCTAGCTCATGTGCCCTTCATGCCTTCCTCATCAGGCGTCTTTCGTAAGTACACAACTGCCCCAACGAGACACCTTAAGTTGACTTTGTTTGAAGACGTTAAAGGTAGACGGTACATCTTACTGTGCAGTGATGATACGGAGGGAGGAGCTGTGATTCGGGATGACACAGGGGCTCTTCAGCCTTTGATGGCACCAGCACAAGTCAAACAATGCTTCATCGTTTCTTCGATGAGACTAGCTCTTCTCCTTGTGGGAAAGGTACGTATCATACTACGGCCCTTCGCTCACTGTCTAATTTCACATCAGTCTCTTTGGTCCCTTAAACTATCCGAGCTCACCGGTGCTGATATGGCTACACCAACTGTCATCAAGAATGGCGTCAATTTTTTTCATATTGGATATCATAGAGGTACCCTATTATTGGTTCTTGTCAGCGAGCTGGTATGTAATCCCTCATTCCACCAACACTGTCCTGATAATGCCCCCGATATTCAGTCCAAGTCGACCCAGTTGAAGTGGTACACTTGTGTGACGCGGCCGTCTCGACCTACATCTGGTTTTTTCGGTCGAAACAGCAAGCCGTTCAAGCAATTGGGCGAACACGAGCTTCCCGGAAAACTTCACGGCGTAGAAGTTCTAGATAATGGTATTATGACCTTTGGAGAGTCGGGCTTTCAGCTGCTTTCGATCGACCAGTACGTAATCTTGGTCTTGAATCTAACAGGTCCCTTATCGCTTTACAGAGGTGTCAAGATCAAACCACAAGAGCTTCCTCGGATACCACTCGGCGCATCCAGTCAGGTGGCCCAGCAGTGCCAGACGTCCAAACCTGTTGCTGCTACTCGATCCGGCGACGATTTTCTTCTCTGCTATTCTGGTGAGTTCAATTACTCGGCCTTCAATCCGAAACTTATTTCTGCTCAGATTTTGGAGTTTACGTCAATCCAGCTGGTGAAATTATTGGTCGTACCATTGAATGGACGAGCAATAAAATCTCGAGCATATCCTTTGCAGGTCCATATCTCTTCTTGGTCTCGGATTCTTCTATCGAAGTGAGGCTAATTGAGAATGGCCGTAAGGTGGAAATGATCGAGGGTCGCTCCATGAAACTTCTGCGAGGAATGGATGAAACCCGACTCTCAAGCTCAAAGGGGCAAGAACTGGCTGTGGAAACAGCAGCAGCAAGCGATGAGACGGACGGAGAAGACGACACTGGAATGCTTCATTTCGCCACGCGTCCCGACGATTCTCCAATTGATATCGCGGTAATGGAACTTGAAATGGATATTTTGGACCTCTCGGCTTGACTATTGAACAGTCCTGTCGGTCCCTCTCCTGCTAGATTTGAGTTTAGTTGCGTTAATTTTAGTCGCGTCATTTCGTTCGGGTTAGTTGTAGCTACTCTACCTCTATTTCGTGTCATTTGCATCACCCATTGTATTATATCAAGCATTTTTTTCTCCAAGAAAATATGTACAAAGTTCGTTATGCATGAAGCTACCATATAACAAAAAAAATAAGAACGGGACGGGCGATAGTACAAGGGTATACAACGTACACAAGTTACCATTCAAGAGCAATCGCAATCCGAGAATGCGAATGCGAATGCGAATCATAATCCCCTCATTACCTGTACATCCGTTTACGTAAATCCGAGTTCTCATCAATCGCAGCCCTAAGTTTTTCTTCCGTATTCTTCAGCTGCTTTTTTGTTGACCGAAGCGATTCCTCAAGTCCATCGACGACCTCCATCTTGTCTTTAAGCTCTAGGTTTTCTATGACTGCGTCACGGAGGCGTCTCTCCGCGGCGCGGAGTCGGTCCTCTACAGCTTTCAAACGTGCCTCGTGCGAGCCGACAGAATTCTTGGAAGTCTCGTATTCAGCCAGGTTGGATGCAGTTCCGGTCGTCGTAGGTACCTGAGAGACTAAGGGTATAGCCTGAGTTCCGGCTACTAGGTCATTCTCCACTGTAGATACTCCTTTCTCGTGTGTGGACTTCCTCGCCTGATCTGAGTAATTGGAGGGCCTAGTACTTCCAAAGTAAGGGGCCTCAGTCAATGCCCTGTTGTTGGAGGTAGAGGACAATCTACGAATTGTTGGGTCAGGTGACTTGTTTCCAGAGAAGAATGGGCTGTGGGATTATCTACTTACGCGCCGTGACTAGCAGCTGTCGATGTCAATTGGTTCAACTCTATAACAGACCCAGGCTGGTTCGCATTTGCCAAAGCAGAAGCGCTAAAGGTGGCCGAGGTACTGATGGAAGGAGCACCCCCAGACTTGGTAGGCGAACTCTCGTTAGACATGTTACCTTCCTGACGAGCTCTGAATGAGTTGGGATTCGGTAAGCGTATCGTCAAGCTAGTTACTTTCTCCCTTTCAATCCTAGTGGTAGGACTCTCCGCAGCTCCTTTAGCTTCCGTGGAGGCTCCAGCGAATTTATCAAGGCACTGGGTTTGAGCGTCTACAATGGTGTGCAATGCGGCTATCTGTTGATCCTTGTTCTCGATTTCCGACTCGTGACGGCGCTTAATCGAGTATAGCTTGGCAGAAGTTCGAAGCTGTAGCCGGAGAACGGATAAATGTGCCTCATCGATTGCCCCATTCGTCCTCTCCTCTAATTCCGTCAGGGCTTCAAAGGCCTTTTGCTCCAAAGACTTCACCTCATTTTCTCTTCTTTCCTCGTGGCGTTCCAGTTCAGAGACCCTTCTTTCAGCCATCTCTATCTCTGATCTCGATACGCAACACGCTTCATCAGCAGCCTTTTGCAGTTCTTGACAACGACTAGCGTAGGCTACAACTTGTCGCCTGAGCGTTCTCTGTCGCCGTTTACCTTTGGAACAAGAATCTTCGGATTCTTTAAGCTGGCTTCGAATCCTCTTCATCATGAGCCTATGTCGAGTCAAAGTTTGGTCTTGGGACGATTTGAGATCTTGGAATATTTCTTCAAGGCATTTTCCAATCTTCGCGATTCTATCCGCTTCCGGGTGACTTTGGTCCTCTCCAGAATTGCTAAAATTTGTCCCAGTTGTCGGAAACTCTTCTCGTATGAATGCCTCGAGCGCTTTTAACTGAGTACGAGTGTCCTCTCTTTCAGATGTCATTCGTTCGCAAAGGCCTGCCTTTGCATGAAATTTTGCATTATCCGCATCTAGCCTATCTTTGAGTTTATATATTTCTCTTTTTGCGTCGTCCCTTGCTCGCTCTGCATCACGGAGTCTAGAGTGTAACTCCTGCAGCTCCCGCTCAGAGTCCTCCTCCCGCTTCTTGATCCCGACGTTGAGCTTTTCTATCGTTATTTCCAGGTCCACCTTTTTATCTCGCTCCCGTTTTATGTCGTGCCTGAGGTCGACTAGCTCTTTCTTTAGACCTCCTATCTTGTCATTGGAGGTCTCGCGCTGATTGGCGAGGCGGACTTCATACCTTGTTTGGACATCGGTTGTTTCTCGCTTTTGCCTGTTGAGTCGGTCTTCGACTTCACCGATCTCCTTCTGTAGTCTTGAGTACATTGACTGCCAGTCTGAACAGACGGTCTTCAGTGTGCCAAGATTCGACTGCTCGGTCTGATATTTCTGCGTCACGGTGAGCAGATGATCGGCTAGAGACCGCATCTCGGAAGTCTTTCGTTGGTCTCGTTGCTCCAACTCGGTAATCTTCTGCCTCTTCTCCCTGACCTCCGCCTCCAGCGTGGAAATCTTCTGCGCTTGAGTATGAGAGAGCCGTTCTTCATCCTTGAGCTTTGATAGAATAGGGTTGAATGTCTGAAAAGATGCGATGATCGTTAGGAATCGCTGCTGTACCTCCGCCTGCGCCGTTCGGAGGTCAGACAACTTGAGCTGTAGTTGCTGTTCAACTTGACTTGTTATCCCCAGTTGAACCTCTCTCTCATGAGTTACAACAGGAGGTGCTGAATGGGCGGGTTAGTTATTGGGATGACTTCATCAAACGAATTTCGGGGCAGTGTCAAAGGCACAAGTCATAATGTTGGCTTCTGAATGGAAGATATGGACACGAATCACTGGGATAGTACACACCGATTTCTGTAAGAGTGGCCATGCTACTGGTTCAGGACTTTTTGTATCGGATTTGATCAGGCAAACACGAGCGGGCGACCCTCCTTTGGCCGGCACCCAGCAACCAGACAGTGAGACTTGGATAGGCTTTCTGGAGACATGATACTTTGTGGTGAGCTTTGAGAATAGAATTAGGTTCTAAAGGGCCTAATTACCCTATCTCGACCAGTGGGTCGGGTGAAAGTCGGTGTCGTAGGGCACTAGTCCCTAAGTAATTAGAGTACTTCTCCAAGATTTAGAAAGGAGAATTGCCTCAGTGAGCAGTGAGACGACCTGGCAATAGAAGTATCACGGGATGTTGTCCAAGTCGGAAAACAAAGCAGTGCGAACCTCGCCTCACCTCGACGGGTCACCGACAACCTGCATAAACATACTTGAAACTCACAACTCGTTCAGAGATAGGACGTTATACGGGCTATATCAATTCACAAAGGCTTGCGTTTGACAGGTAAAAATTGCGGCAGCACAAAACTTGAAAGCATGGTGTCCGCATTTTCAGTCTGATGAGATGACTTGCGTTAGTAAAAAGTTATTTTGACGCCAATTTGAAACTTTTCTCGAGGAATCCGTCTCACTGGATTGCTTCTAGTATACTGTCGGCCTGGGTCTCGACCTCCTTCTTTTGAGCCGAGCCGGAATCTTCATCCCATGAAAAATTTCGATATGCCTTACACGAACTGTATCCATATAGTATAATACATTCACATCCATACTCTTTGTGAGTTCCGGACCCTCGCTCTAAGAAATAGATGACTTTTATCGTCAGGGGGCAGAGAGCTGATGGCGCCAGTGTAGCGTAGATGCCATCTTCTTTAAGATGATTTAAATCAGACTAAATAACGAAGAATTGTCTATGGGAAATGCTATATTGGGACCTAGAACCATGGAATCGTATCGTTACCCACATCGAACAAGGTCACAGAAAAAGGCGAGAAAATTGTCATCAAAACATGTGCATATTCCTTTTACAGCAGGGTAGAGAGGCAAATGTTACACCCATACACCCCCTAACTACCCTCGGGTTTTTGCCTTCCCGTTTCCTAGGCATTCACTACGGGAAAGAGCATTGTTCAGCTAATAGCGGATGTATCTGTCTGGAATCAGGTCGTATGGCCCAATTTTTACACCCTTCTCCGCAGCCAGATCCTTAAGACGGCTCCAATCGCAACCCGGGTTACTTTGTGAAATGACCTCAAGATGAGCGAGAACATCTTGTGACTTTCTCATAAGAATAGTTTCAAAGCAGTCGATGATACTTTCATCTTCCAAGGCATGCCTCCTTAGAATTCGTAAAAATAAGACTTCCAGAAGTGGGGGAAGTCGATCGACAACACTCTTCCTATCTTCTGCCACCAAAAGTTTATAGCTGATGGAGAGTGTACGAATACATTTGAAGTAGCTGAGGGACCAAGTTCCGGCACGTAGAATTGCATCATTATTCAGTTCCAAGACTAGAATCTCAACGGTACCAGAGATATAATCGAGTGCACGTCGAAAATCCACTTCTGAACGCGAAGTTAAGGTGAAACAATCGTCCGATTCGATGTAAACGAACTTCTTCAGAGCGCGGGGAAGCCTCAAGAACCTAGCGAGTGTATCACTATCGATGTAGGAGTCGAGTAGTTCAACTGCTTTCACATCAGACTCGTTGTATCGCCTCGTGACATCTGCTTGAGAAAAGATTTTCACATCGTTATCATCCTTCCTGGATCTAGGCGCGACTCGACATGCGGCTATTTCGATCAGCGAAGGGTACGAAAATGCGGGAAACAGAGATTCCGCATCCAGTGGTATCCCTTGCCTCGTATCTCCCCACATATCTATCCAGCGCAACGGTGCTCTGAGGAACTGGGTATCAACGAGTGTAGCAAACTGGCTACTGAAGCCGTCGCGCTGAAAGCGCCGGGGGTTGATCCGGAACCCTTCTAGATTTGGAAGTAGTGACAACAAGGATAACGCGACAGCCCAGTGTACCCTCTCAACGACTTTAGATACCAGAATAGGAGGCAATCCACGATTTTGTATTTCTTTTGCAAATGTATGGACGTCTATCTTGTCCACTGCTTCCCGTTCTGCCTCGTTGTAGTACTCGAGGTCGTCAAAGCAGTCCAGAATGATCGTTTTGACGAGGTGTGCATGACGAGGGATGTCGATCAGATGCTGAAAGAGCTCGTAGATGGGTCTGGGTGAGAAAATACGTATATTGCGGTAAACAAATGGGAGGGCGGTGCGATGCATACGTCTACTGCAAAGAGATAGATTTTGGATATCGCGGTTATAGTGACTGGATGTGAATGTTATGTTTAAGTGTTCAGTAATCATCTCGATGATTTCATCAGCAAGTCTTTCGAAAGGATCGTTGAGCCCCACTGGATTGTGCTGCATGGTCGAAGTAAGAGATCATTCCATTGAGTGTCTGACTTGAGCCACACTTCGACCCTTTGACCGATGTCAGGGCATCGCACGGGTGCACCCGCGGGTGACCCGCACCCTTACCCGCAGGTAATGGACAGGCAAATCTCCATACCTGGATCCGCAACAGGTATTAGCTACGGGTACCTGCAGTGGCTGTGAAGCCTCGTACGGGTACCCGTATTGCAGGTACCTGCGGGTATTGAATAGAAACAGATGGCAATGTTAGTCGCAAATCTATTCCAATGCATTACTCCGCATATTTGAGCTTCTGTGACTACTGAAAATACCTCCAATAGACATATTCTCAGCTCAATACCCGATTACCTGCAGGTGCACCCGCAGGTATACCCGCGATACTCCACCAGAGGCCATACCCGCACCCGCACAAGGACCCGCCATACAGGTACCTGCACGGGTCAGGTACCCATACCCGCAGGTATTCCCACGGTTCTACCTGCAGGTACCTGTCGAACACCCGGACCCGTGCGATGCCCTGACCGATGTCAAGTTCCTCAG